GAAGGGCGGCTTTTATTTAAAAATTAAATAGTACTGGATTGTCTACAAAAAATTTTGAATTGTATTTTATAGTTCTTCACCTTTATCACTTATTGCTTGTTATCTCTATTCCCGTTTCTCAATCTAGAGCGTATCTCTGCAATTTGCAATGCACTTTTTGTGAAAATTAGGCCGCAGCATGAAAAGATATGGCGGCCACAAAAAAGTAATTACACAGAAACTTTTTTTGTAGGATAATAGCCACATTTGTTGTTGTTGTTGTACAATATATATGCATTATTTGAATGTGCTGCTGAAGGCAACAATTGTTATATTTTTTCGTTTTTTCGTAACTATTGCTGTTGGAAATAAGCCGCTGAAGAGGCTGCTCTGCTCTGGTATTGAGATACATTTAAAGCCTTCGGCACTAACTGGCATTTGCCTTTCTGGATGGTGAAATTTTTGTGGGTGTAGCTATGTTAAATAAAATAAATGTTTAAACCTTTTTCTGTTGCCTTTCTTTGGGCTATATCTGTGCTCTATTCAATGATATAACATCTAAAACCTTCGGGCACTTTTCATTCAAACACTTCCATTATGCAAATTTCCATTTCCATGCGTCCAACCGTTTCCTCCAATCAGCACGCACAGAGCCCAGAATGAATATTGAAAACTGTTTGCTGTCCAACGCTGCAAAAATCCAATTAACCAAATCGCATAAACTCAGCGAGGCAAATGCGAGCCGAAGCGAAAGGGAGACAACGACGACGACGACGGCGACACAAAAACCAAAAAGCCAAGAGTGTCAAGGGAAAACACACACACACACACACAAACACACATACATATATATATTGTAGGGAAAATTGTTAGTTGAACAAGAAAGCGCAAATAGCAAGTAGCAGTGACAAAACTAATCTGAAGGCAACAGGCAGGCAATGGCAGAGTTGCCATCATCATCATCACCATCGTCATCATCATGGTTGTAGGCGACAAATGTTGCACATACTCGTACGTAGTGCTGCATGCGACATTGTGGGCGTTTAAATGTCGACTGTGGGCTACAGAGGTAGACATCAAATTATGTGCTGATTGTGCACATTTATACGCATATAAACGTCTATACTAGTATGTGTATGCTTTGCTCAAAATTTTGAAAGCTAGTTTCAAACTGCAGCGCACAGCTGCTAATTTAATAACACAACATAAAAATAAAAAAAATAATACTATTAACCGCAGCGTAACAAGCAGCCGAAAAGATACAAAATGTATGTCTTTTGCAATCGTGCGGCATTGCAACTTGCAACAACAACAGAAACAGTCAATTGCAATTGAAATAGCAAAAGCAACAGCAACAGCGTCTTGCCACAAAAAGTGCAATTGCATGATTTTTCAGTTTTCATTGTTAGTCATAATGAAACCGAAAGCAACCAGTCAACAGTCAAGAGTTGGCGTAAATTAACGTACAGTGCTCATATACTTAGTACAGTAAGTGCTCGATAAAAAGTGACCGTTCATTGAACTGCGTATACGTGATGTGCAGCGCTTCGAAATGAACGATAAAGTATCAGATGGAAGAATGCATTGTTGCTTTTTTCTTCCTCCAATGAGCACTCTATATTGTCGACTTATAACATCTTATCTGTTTTGGTGGCACTTTAGTGAGAGTTTCACAATTGAAAAAGTGACAGGCAGTTAGTGTAAATTGTGCCTTTAGTTAAATGCTTCGGTGTTACTGATTTTAATTTTAGCTTTTTTAATTTTATTATTAAATTAAATATTAATATAAATATTGATACAAATTAAAATGTTTATATAGGAAACAATCTCAACTTAAAAGCTAAAAAAGCCTACAAATACCTGTATAATAATAATAGAGTATGAATTCTTTGACAGTAACTTCTTATTAATTATTAAATAATGGCCTAATATCAAGATTTGTGCATGTGCATAAAAAATTTCTTTAGTTCTTTAGAGCATGTCGCTGCGCAAATCTATTGATTCTCATTTGTTGATGAAACGAGCTTTTTCGATGCATTTTGGAAATCTATGCTTTCTGTTTGAAGCAACAACAATGAATTCAATTGAAGTGATAGAGAGAAAGAGAGAGAGAGAGAGACGACGCCGCGCAAAGCCAATTACTCCTTTAGCTGTTAAGAACATCTTCCTATTGTTTCTACTTGTTGATGCACCGAATTTTTTCAAAGCCTTTTGGTTTTCTGTTTGAAGCAACAACAACGAGTTCAATTGAAGAGAGTGTGAGAGAGCGAGAAAGAGAGATGATTACTAGTTTAGCTGTTAAGAACATGTCCCTATTGTTTCTACTTATTGATGCAGGTTTTCTGTTTGAAGCAACAACAACGGGTTTAATTGAAACGAGAGAGAGTTGTACAGTACAGTGAGCCAGCCTTTAGACTAAGCTCCCCTGTTGCTGCACCGGTCGCTCCTACGGCTACGAAAGGGATAACAAGGGTGGAGTGTGCAAAGAGCGCAATTAGAAAAGGAATTGAGCGCGATCAACGCAATCACATTGAGAGTTGCGATTTATTGAGCGCATCTTGCTTTACAGAGCGAGGTACACTTTATGAGTGTGTGTGTAATTATGTGTTTACAGCGTCTGCTGCTTGACCAAACATTCCTTCAAAAGCATTCCTTCAACTACGTTTATTTTCCTGCCAATTCAAATGCTTAAAATTTTACAATATTTTCAAAATATCTTCATATATTTTATACTCATTCAGTATTCACTAACAACAACAATTAAAAAGTGTAAATATTATTAAGCAATGAAGCATATTTCTACTTCTATTCTGGTTTATATAGTATTTATTATAATAGTATTTATTTTGTATGACTACTGTACACTTCGTATAGACACTCGCACATCTAGCAATTGCACAAAAAACTTATGGTCTGCTTGGGGCACACACCTTAATTTTCACTCCCCGCACCCCCTCTCCCATTGCCTGCGCAGCAGTTACCATCATTGATGTTTTCATGGTAGTTGTTGGCAGCTATTGAACAGCAATCGCTCAGACACGACAACATCGGTGATCGGGCGTTGCAATACGTTGCGGGTGTGGGTCTACTTACCAAGTTTTGACTGTAATGGGTTTATTACCGCACAAATGATACCATTAAGTTCATGCATACGATGTCTTTAGCCATGGAACGCTTGTAGACACGTGCGCATGCGCCAAGTTTCGGCTTTTAGAGTGACCAGGTGGTTCAAATGTGCATTGCAGCGGAACATTATTGTGATATGTACGAGTATGATTAAAATAAGTAATAGAACTGTTAATTAAACTAAAGTATATTGCTGCAAATAAATCAAAACAAATTTGGCTGGAATGTTTTATGGATATACATACATATGTACTTGTATATTACAATTGGAAATGAAGCTTTTCACTAAATAGTTATGTTCGCACGAACAGTAATAATATTCGCCGCAATCTATTGATAGGTATGGAAAAATACAGCTTTTTATATGATTTTCATTTGATAATATATGAGTGAATAAAATTTAATTAAAAACAATTTCAAAACCTGTCTAGCATATTATAATATTTTTAAAATTTGGCTAGATCGAGGTTTTTTTTATTAATTACAGATTACAGATTTATCTCCTTCTTATTTGTTCTGTCTGTTATTTTATTATACTTGAGAAATGATCTGCTTTCGATTAAATCATGATAATAAATCGTTTCTTTCCTCATTGCAAGTGTCTCTTAACATACATATGTATATAGTTTTGTTCGAAGAGTGCTTCTTTGGCCGCCCACACACAAGATATTCGCGTATAGTAAGCATGTTGTGGAATAAAAAGAATGATCCGAAACGACGTCAAAAAGTCATTCATAAATGAAAATAAATAAAACACGACTGGTGGTGGTACATAAAAGCCAACCAAACAGCTGAGCAACTAAGCAATATTATTATTTTCTGACGCTTTCACTTGCCAATTTTTACGAGTTTTTCAATTTCGAGCAGGCATTTTTGTTTTGGCATTTTTATGTGCGTGTGTGTGTTTCTTTAAGTACATTTATTTTTTGTTTGGTATTTTTAGCGCGCTTTCAACAGTTTATTTGTTTTGAGTGGAAAGAAAACATTTTAATGCGCCACTTGTGCATGTTTTCTTTTTTTTTTTCTTCTTTTTTTGAACGCTGTTCGAACACTTGTTGCTGTCGGCTACTTTTCTATTAGTTTTTGCATCCAGAAACTGCTAAGAATTGAAATATTTTTGTTGATATTAATACGCCTGCTTTACGAATCGAAACGGCATTCCCCTTCAACTCATAAATCTTATAAACAAATCTTAAAGAGCGTAAATATGCATCTCAAAACTCAGCAGAATATAACACAATCTCAATATTTATGTAGCGCTTCATATTTTTGTTGTTGATATCGTCAATAATCATAAATAATTAGGCTTTGTTTTTGAATAAATGCATTGAGGGATGGGCTCCTTGGGCACATGGGCTTGGCATCGCACGTCCAGTAGCGGCAGTAAAAAGTAAACAAACGAGGAAGTTTCAAGCTTAAATATAAATAAAAAATTTGCATATTTTTGCAAAAAATATTCAAAACAAATATCAGTTACGGATCTCCAATTCCACTACGTCCATCCGAATGGGGCGGATTTTCTGATGTTGGCACTGTTTTGTGCGCTTTCCAGCACTTTCGTTTTTTTTTTTTAAATTTTTTTTATATCTTTGTCGAGAGGAGCGGCAGCTCAGGCTGTTAATAAATCGTCGGTATTTAGCTTTTGCATTTTCAAATTTATGAGCCTTAATAAGTTGTGTGATTTTTCGTACTCTTTATTATCTTTTCGCTGTGCAGCTGGCTTATGTGAGAAACAGCTGCATCCGGTTGGCTTTAGCTTCTACGACTGCCCCATGAGCTTCATTTTTCGCTTTCAATTTTGATTTGAACTTTAGAAACACCTACAACAATGCTATCGAATAAAGCTAAATGACAATGTGTATATATTGCCATTTCAGGGAGAAGCATAGATCGGATTAACATGCATCGTTTCTTACTTTTATTTAGGAATAATAGAGGTAATATCATTCCTCATATACGAATAATATTATTCTACTTTATTGATTGGAACATTTGCTTCCGAATCAGTACCATCTGAAAACATTAAATCATTTTTATAAATTGTATTCTACTCCTCGAGTGAGCATTTACTGCTTATTATGGCTTCACATGAATTGGTGGAAAGGGATAACCTGACGGTCCTGCTGCCATAGTAATAATTGTAGCTAACATCAAAAAACTCTAAAGAAATTAAATAAAATCAAGGAAATTATAGTTGGATTCTATAATTTCATTTGACTTACGGACAGGTTCAGCGATTTCATATTTTCAGTGTGGTTAGAAGACTACTTGACTCTGAAAAAGACTCGGGTTTATTTAGTAAACTACTTATTGAAAGACGTAAAAATTTAATCGGACATGGGTTATGCAACGCAACAGAAAAGAAGTGAACAAGTGTTTCTAATTTATTTAGACATTACTGCTTATATAAGATTTGGTATGCATATGTAGATAATCGTATTGCTAGAATACACGTGTAGTCCTTCTATATACAAACTGATTGACTAATTTTAAATAATTCCAAAGCCAAAGTCATTAAATCTGAATATGAACCATTTAAAAACTGTCTTTTATATAATTAAGGAGCTACTAAGAATAAATTATGCTATTATTTTCATATTTAATTGCATTTCTCTCCGTCCTGCAATTACCACATTTGATCCTGCAATACAATTCCATCAAATAAGGAGCTGAATGTTCTTTAAAGTAAATATCAAAATATAGTTGAAAAGTTAAAGAGTTTCTAGGTTTCAGTGGCACACTGAAGACTATATAGGTTTGGCTCGTCGAACTAAGTCCGACTAGTCGCGGGGTGTCTTTATTTACCTTTAACATGATGCTCTTTTTTTACATTCGTCCTTTGCATTCGTTTGCAGAAAAGCTTCAGAAGTATGACAAAAGTGTGTGCTTTGTTTTTATTTGGAATTATAAACCAGACCAGTAGTTTTAATTAATAATTTCTAAATATAACATTTTAAATGTGAATTACATTTTTTTGTTATGTAGTTAAGTCAAAGTTATGAAGCCTTGGCAAATAGCTTTATTTGACTTCTGTTGGATTAGCATTATTGATGCTATTGTTGCTAGCTAACGTGATAGAAAATACAAGTAGTGTCTTATTTGGTGTCAATGACGATTTATTATGAATTTTATAATTTTATTTAATGGCATTCTCATTTACCATTCTCTTTGGCGATTACAATCGAAATTAAAATAATTATGTTGAGTAAGAATCTGAATTAAACGTAGATCAAATGTGTAATTAAAGTTTGAAGAGTTACGTTAAGCCTATTAATTCACATGGGAATATAGCGACACAGCTTTTTTTAAATATATCAAATTTACTATTATTTACCCTATTATCATATTGCATTCAGAAATGTATAAATATCCTTCATGGCTATAGGAATAAAATAAATATCATGCAAATATTTCGAAACAAATAATACGCAATAGATTCAAAAACTCATGGTTCTTAATTCCCAATTCTGTTTTTTATTTACAAGGTTATTATCTGCTTATAGTAGGATGCATTGCTGTAAGCACATTTTATATTTCCCCTAATTTATCAGAGTTGGGCGGGAGTTTTATCATTAAAAGTACTATCACAACAAACAGTATCTGAAAGTTTGAAGTTTTTTAAAATTTAACATCAATTCCAACATCTTGTACTGGAGTTACTCACATCGTGGCAAAGAAACTTCATGTTTAAGAACAGGAGGACAACTAAATATATGAGATTCCTATCGGCGTATCGTTTTTGTTAGGCGTTGATAAAAGGTGTTTCAAATCCGTCATGGTCTTACGGTTTAAATTTCCAAAGCATAAATAAAAGATTACAATACGTAACTTGTATTACAACTGCATCCAAAAGAAACCCACTAAAACGGAATTGAACCGAATATAATTTTTATAGCCTGTACCCAAAGGGTGAAAGGCTATACTAGTTTTGTGCGCATGTATGTAACACACAGAAGGAGGCGTGGCAGATCCCACAAAGTATATATATTCTTGATCAGGATGAGAAGACGAGTCGATATAGCCATGTCCGTCTGTCCGTCTGACCGTCTGTCCGTCTGTCCGTCTGTCTGTATGAGCGCAAGGATCTCAGTAAGTACAAGAGCTAGGATAACCAAAATTGGTATCAAGGTTCCTATAAGCCCTAGGCAGAACGAGTTTGTTTATTTTTTCTGATACACCCCCCACTCCCCCGCAATTCGTATTTTTTCTTATAACTTCCGTAATTCTCGGAATTTTAAAATTAATTTTGGTAGGTACATCCAGTTAGTACTAATGTGTCCGTGTGCCAAATTTCATCATGATAGGTCAATTCTGAAGAAAGTTATAGCCATAAGTAAAATCGCTGCTCATGCGCTGCTCATGCGCTGCCTGCAGCTCTGTCGGCAGCGCTGCCCGCAGCTGTTGTTGTTGTTGCTGCTTTTGTTCAACTTTGTGCTGCATACATACACGCATATAAACACGCATAGGTACGTGATGTAAATGTATGCTGTTTAAACTGAACATGAACATGTATTCTAATTTAATTTAATTAATTATTTTAATTAATTAATTCATTCATTTTTTTTAATAATTTAATTTTTTTTTTTTTTAATTTTTTCTTTTTGTGGAGAGTACAGGCTATTTTACTGTCGGGCTTGCTCGACTGTAGAGTTCTATCTTGTTTAATATAAATTTGATCGTACTGCATCTAGAAATGTGCCAATATTCTCAAGGGTTTTATTATTTTTAGCCAATGTGCGTATTAAAAGAAGAAGAATGCAAAACTAGCGTTAAATGTTTTTTTTTTTAATTTTTCAGCTCATTTTTAAAAATTAAGCTAATTAAATAATATTAATAATATCCAAAAACCTTGTCCTTTCTCAGGCTTAGGAAGAATCTAAATACCAAGTCTTGTTATTGCAGCTCGTATACTTTCTGAGATCTTTGCGTAAACACGGACGGACAGACGGACATAACTATATGCAGTCCTCTTGTCATATTGATGGTATAATAACGAGAAAATCTAATAGTTAGTAATTGCCAATTGTTCTTTTATTTACAATTACATTATCTGCTCATAGTATGATGCATTTTACATCTAAGATGCACTTTTCGACCTTTGGTATTTTATCATTAATATTGCGACAGCAAACATAACCTGCAAGTTTATAATTTTGGAGAATTAATAATAACTTCAACAGCTTTTACTGGATTTACTCACAGCGTGACCGAAGAAGAATTTCATATTTAAGAGCAGCAGAACGACTAAATGATATTTCGTACGTATTGGACTTAAATATGATTTTCGTTGGACGTTGATAATAGTTGTTTCAAATCAGACATGGTCTTACGGCTTAGATTTTCAAAGTATAGCTAATACAAGTGAATTACAATACGGAACTTGTGTAATAACTGCACCCAAAAGATCCCTCCTTTAATGACAACAAGGAATTGTTTTAAAACGGAACTAAATCGAATTTTGAGAGATGTTATTTAGAATTTAAAATAACGATTGTTATTAATTGTTGTTATCACACTGATGTCGAACTATCCTATTTGTGATAACTTCAAACTTTTATACTGAATTCAGAAACGTATTAATAAAAGTAGCAGGAAAAGAATAATTCGCTATACATCGAAATTAAACGAATATCCATTTTGAAAGTTCTTTTTTTTATTTTTAAACAATATTTGTATATGGTAAGGAGGCTTTAATTCAAATACATATTGAAATATTGCTTAATTTCAACTCAAATGTATGTCAATTGGTAAATCAAGACTGGTTCAATTTTGTGCATTATATGTGCAGCCAGCCCATCCATCAAATTGTCTCAATTTGTCCGATATTTATATAAAGCCGCATGCATAGTGCATTCAAAATGTGGCCTGCCCTACTTTCCTGGTCTGAAATGATTCATTCATCAGTCTTTATCAGTTAAACGTTTGTTTGTTTTGGTACCTAATCATCATAAATACTCTATACATTCATATACACTCAAATAAATCTCTCTGTGAAGCACAATTTGTCAGTTTTGCCTGATAAGGTCAGAGTATTCATAAACAGGCCGCTAAACGTGTGAATAGTAGACTATTGTTGTTGTTGTTTTTATAAATATTTGTAGGTATTTATTGTTTTTCTTTTGCCTTTTCTGTTTGAGTTTATGGCACTGCCCAATCATGATTGCGCAAACGCACATGCTGTGTACCTTCTATGGAATTTGTTGTTTCGACAGCCAAAACAAATGCATTTCTGTATTATGATAATACATTTTGGTATGCGGAAATGGGTCACCAGCATTTAATTTTGAAATATTTGGGTTTGGGTGCAGACCTACAAGTATAATAAGAGAGTTGCTCAACTTTGTGTCAGGATTGACGCGTGTGTTTACGAATTGGAAATGGGAAAGAAAAACTAACTTGAAATTCATTTAAAAAGCTTTGATTGATTAGTTCTCCACTAAAATATCTTTTTTCTTTTTTTTCTTTCAGAGTTTTTACATCGAAACATTACCTGAATAATTGTTTCAAAGTTAAGGCTATTGGAGGTAAGTTTGTAATCGTTTTTCTATTGAAATATGATGGCTTGAGAATGTGAAAAAAATCATTTACTGCTTAAAAGAAACTATAAGTATGTTCTAGTAATATTTCATAAATTTAATTGAAGCTGATTTGGTCCAGCATGGCCCGACTTTATTGTCGGATTGGATTGACAGACACTCGTATGTCTGTATACAAATAAGGGTATAAGAAATGGAAAGATAACTAGGAAACACAGCTTTTAAACAAAATAATATAATTATTTCTATAGATGCTACGTAAAATAGTATTGAGTCCAATAGAATATTAAAGGTGTAGTATTGATACCTTCGAATATCTTATATAAGCTGCTTGAATGGTATTTCATTTCAAGTTCGCAAAATTGTTCATAATTAGATCCTTACTATCCCATTCTTTTGTATATATATGCACTATTTAGTACCCTAAAAATACGCAGAACTATCAACTGTGAGAATGGTATGTTTCAGCAAGATCTACAACTAAATAGACACGATTTTTCAAAACTCGCATAAGCACATTTTAGAATCGATATTAGAAACAACGCCCCGAGTTCTGAAATACACATTTTTCAGCAGTCATGCGTAGAAATATTTTATAACTCTGGACCAATCCACCCATCTTTACTCCCACCAAAGACAATCTTACTCCTAATTTATATTTTCAATATAGCTCCATACATCTCTGTAAATATTTATGTCTCATTATCTGTCTATAGCTTAAATCATTAAAGCTATTCTGCAGTTTTAATTGCTTTTAAACTTTATATAAATAAATAAAAAAAAATCAAATTTGAAGAGATGCGAATATGTATAGAAAAAGTGGAGTCCCAAGATCGATCAAAAGTACATTTAATGCAACATTTGCTAACATTTTATAAATTGTAAATGCTTTGAACAATGTCACAATATTTGTGGAATATTTCCTGAGTTGCAAAATATTTAATAATATCATTGCTTTCCAAGTAACATGCAAGTTAAATGGAAGGTCAGAGCGCAAGTGTCCTCAACAAATTGTAAGATTGAAATTTCCACTACATTTGCGCATTTTCACATTTCCAGCTTAACGTTCAACGATTATACAAAGTGCTTGCAGCTTTTCATGCGTTAAAAAATGTGCAATAATAAAAAATAATAATAATGAAACTGAACAGCTGCAGAAATGGCACAGAACCTGAATTCAAATATCAACTGAATTCGCAAGGCAAATGCATAATATAAATGCAAACGTAGATTCAAATATACATTTAAATGTGAATTTATGAAGACGTTGTGGAGATTTAGAAAGAATTAATGTATGCGAATTCTAGAATATTGAATTAAATACGCATTTGTATGATTTGCCGCGCAATTAGTGCAGCCATAAGTTGCTGCCCATAATGATAAAAATTGATAACTGCGGCAATGTCGCGCCAAATGGAGGTGGACTGTCCACATATTTCCGTTTATTATAATTTCAGTTATTGTTTATTTTCTATGACTTTGTTGATATCTGAAGCGCGAATTCCAATGTAAATCGACAGCTAACTGAGCTCGTAGAATTCCCTGATAAGCTCGGTGCCGTTGAATTTGTTTCGTTTATGACGAATTTGATATTTTTTTTGTGGCGTTGTGGAATTTTCAAACAATATTATTATCGTAATATAATTATACATTTCAAGTGCAGTCATTGAGTAGAATGCTTTGGGACCTTCAGAGCAAAACAATAAAGCTGCTTTCTTTTTTATGCATATGTTTTAAGCAGGAAGAATTTGAATGTGTAGGCTATATCCTGTCTGGGTAGGTTATCACTCAGCACTTAGAAAAGAAAGAAAAGAGTGTCTCTAAAATATAAATAAAATTCAAAAATAGAATTACTTAAGCGTTCAAGCCCAAATCAGTGGGAAATTATTGGAACTAAGATCAGCTTCAATTCATACTTCTTGGTATATTTTCCGTTTTTTATTAATTTAAACAAATGAAAATGGTGGCTGTTTATTAGACAGCACCTATATCTGAATCGAATCTTGATGAATGTTAAAAGACTTTAAAGGAGGCGAAGTGATCTGATCTGGAAATAGCTTATATTTATATCGCGCTGCATTCTTACTATTAAAACATTTATTAGATAATAGCTGTAGCTTTATTTAAAAAAGAAAACAAAGTCAATAGGTGCATCTGAATCGAGTCTTTATGGATGTTAAAAGGTTTTAAAGGAGGCGAAGTGATCTGATCTGGAAAGAGTTTATATTTTTTTAAAGCTTTTAAAACATTTATTAGATAACAGCTCTTGTTTTAGCCATCAATAAATAAAATAAGCTAAAATCTGCATCTGTTTTGAACCTTTATGGATGTTAAAATGCTTTTAAGGAGGCAAATTGACAAATTTAATTCGCAAATTGCTATTAATTAATTAATATTCAACTATTAAATCATTTTCATGGTTTTTTAAATACCAATTTTTAAATGTTTAAACACAGAGTCTTGATATACATATGTTTGCAGAATTTCAACTCATTCTACTTCTGTTATTTTTATTGTTTGAACGATTAGAAGGCACCTCTTTGTTACCTTTTAACTTTGGGTATTTGTTCTTAATCATAATATTATCAGTATTATTATTGAAATGCTTGCTTATACTCGTTCATGAAATGGCAGAACATTGACCTTGTCTGGCAAATTTCAGGCGATTCGAGTTCATTCGAATCGGAGTCCGAGGCGATGATAAAAGCTTTAAACAAAAGACTCACAGCCTTGTACATACATAGTTGTTGTGTAAAAAGTTGTAAAACGAAATCGATTTCAAATAATTGTATTACAAAACTGTAAAAGGAAACGAAGCAATACACTTGAAATATTAGCTGTTTGTTAAATGAGAAAGTTAACCTTGCCGGTGTACGTGTGTGTGTGAGAGTATGTGTGTGTGTATGTGTATAGGAAGTGCTCATCAAACAAACATAGTTGCGAAATAAATCACATTGAAATAAAGTGTAGAGAAATGCAAACAATGAGCGGTAACTGTGTTTTTATGCTCGTCGCTTTGTTCAAGATTAGCAAAACAAAATAAAAACCAGAGATGAGAGAAAAAAAGAGCATCAAAAAGTACATTTCAGCTTATCTTAGATGCCGCGTGTATCAGTTTTTTGTGCATACCTATGTCGAGTCAGTTCGAGCTGAAGTTGGCTTTAAGCAGTTGGCAAGGTTATTGCACAGGCAGTCATAAAAAACACGTTAAAAGAACACAAGAATAATTTTTAAACACACAAGCAAACATGCGATAATTAAATATTTAATAAGTCAGCTGTTTGTGTTTGTCTCTTATATTTTGTTTTTTCTGTTTGTATTTGTTTACTATTCGCATGTTGTTTTGTGGCCAGTTGGGCTGGTCGGCGAGCTACAAAGCGCCAGAGTTATATACTATGTATAGGTATAGTACTCGTACTATTTGTTATGTGTGGCAGCACTTCAATTGCATTGGCAGCTGCTTCATTTCAGGCACAAATTGCTGGCGAGTGTAGATCAAGATATCCAGTTGAAAGTGTGCAGTCAGGGGCGATTGGACCGCACCTCAAACAACATTCAAACTCTATTCACAACTTCCGCCAGTTACTGGAGCACTATTTTTGACCAAGATTTATCACACAAGCACTCTATTTACTCGACAAGCAGGTTGGTGCACAAGTGCAGTTGTTGTTGCTAGGTATGTAGGTAGAAGTAGTGTCATAACTCAATTCTTTTGTTGCCTTTGTCAGGCAGAGACAGGCGCACACATGACGTATGAGCAATCTCAAATATGGCTGCAGCGCATGCTTGGCATATTAAGCAACTGTAACTACAACTACAACAACAATAACAAAACAACAAACATTTGCATTTTCGGTTGCACTTTAATGCCATTGTGGGCTACATTGTGGCTGACAATGATAGAGTACCACAAATCTAAAGCAGATTGTATTCAATTGTGACGCAAAGCTAATGAGCATTTGAATATGCAAATGCATATACTTATACATACATATATATATGTACATTGGTATTTTATTTAGTCTCGGCTATTTAAAATGCAACACTCATGGCCAGGAAATCAAATGGCTGATAGCCCGATCAGCCACTGATTTTGTCATTTCCATTTAACATCACAGTCCAGTATGGACAGATGCATATAGGCGTGAATAGTCAATGAATGAATCAACATTAGACATATTATTTATATAAAAAGTGGTAGTGGTGTGTCCAAAAAGCCAACACAACAAAACAAATATGGAAAAGTGTTGCGACTAAAATATGTATAATGGCTTGAAAAGGTAGCTCTTGGTTGGTTAATAGTGCCTTCTCTAAATAGAGATAATAATTCATTTAAAATTAAATTGAATATATGTAGAATTGGGTATAAGTTGTAATATTTATTTATTTTTTTAAAAATAACTACCATAGGATGTAAAATCTACATACGAACAGTGGAAAAAGCTTATAACTGTGGCCTTACATTATATAACTTTTAATAAAATATAAATAAATACATATAAATATATTAATAATATACCTATATTTAAGTTTAAGTATTAAAACTAAATACTTATACTGAGTTAATTTTTCGTTATTTAAAGCTAAAACACATTCAATACAGACTTTAAGTTTCCACGAAGATAACTTTAAATGCCTTCAGCCAACATTTGTTTAAAAACCTATACGGCCACCAAGTTATTCATCAAAAGTTATATTTGAACTTTAAAGCTAAGCATATTGTATTCTTTATCGTTGAATTTGTGACATTATTTAAAAACCATGCGATTAGGTATTGATCGATGACATAAGAATTTGCTTTCAAATTTATTAAAATTTTAAACCAACATTTTATAAAATGAAATATGAAAGCTAACGCCTTTTAACACAATTTCGATGATTTTTTTTTTAGTTTTGCCAAAGATTTTTATGAATTTTGAATAACATTTTAAAAAAGTCAATTAAGGTGTTGGCCTGTTCTGTTCTACTTGAAGTTAAGGTACCAATTT